TTTGTAAGCAGCCTCTAAGATGATTCTCCAGTGATCTACACATCCTGGGAACAAAAGCTTAACTTGAATTCGGCTTTCTGTAACTTGCATCTAAAATAGTCAAAGATGAACGTGAACATTATGTACATCCTTGAAACCAAGCATCCCAAGTGTTCAAGACTCCTCATTCTAGAAAAAATAAAGCATAAAAGACAAACATCCCCTTAGAAAGTCTTAAAGTGTACCATTCTTTGGATCACCAATCTGGGAAATGGGCCCTACAACCGCATTTTGAGATAGATTTGTTTAGAAAGAACCTGAAACCAGAGAAGCTAATTCGGTTGAGCCCACATTGAAGTTTTATTTTTTTTTCTCAGAGTTAGCACTAGAATCCTAACCTTAGATCATTCAGATGACAGCAGAGGTCTTCCAGCCCCTGAGACCTGAGGCCAAATGAAACCTCTACAAGCTTTCTACAATTCTAAACCTCTTACAAGTTTCTAGAGCTTTATGTCTACTGTTCTATGGGTTTGAAATAACTCTGTTTTCTCATCTTTATTAAAAGCTCCTTTTGTCCCTTAAGAGCTATGTCATGTGTCATCTTCTCCATGAAGTCTTTCTTGATTGCAAAGCATTAGTTGCTCCTCTCTCTGTTCCCAAAACATTCTGAACACCCTCTCTTCATACATACTATGGATTCTTTTTTTTTTTTTTTCATACTATGGATTCTTGTGTTTACTCCGTCTCCTCACTGGACTGAGTCCCCCAAACGCAGGGTCCATGAATCAGCACCTCTCTGTATCTCCAGCTGTCAGATCCTGGCATGAAGTAGCCACTCAGTAAATATCATCAGATTATATTGGAAAAGAAAAGGAGCAGAGAAATTCTCCCACCAGGGTTTCCTGTTTTGGGGACAAGACGGTCAAGGTCACTGAACAGAGTTATTTATTCCTCAGAGCCTTAAGACCCAACTTACATCAGGGGGGTCATGATTGACAGACATTTTAAATAAAAGAAGATAACATTTGCCTCATCATTAGTACTCAAGCAAAACCATGTGGGACAAATTAATTCATGTGTATCAAGTTATATTTATCTTTTTTTTTTTTAAGTAGGCTCCACACTCGGTGGAGGGTGGGGTTTCAACTCACAACCCTGAGATCAAGATCTGAGTTGAGATCAAGAGTCAGATGCTTAACCAGCTGAACCACCCAGGCGCCGCTTAAGTTGTATTTATCTTAATAACCACAGTCCTTTCTCAGGGTGCAGGGTTGGATCTAAATGTCTTTCTCTGGAATCTTGAGTAAGTGGGTTTTATTGCCACTTGATCCTGAAAGGAACACTTTGCATTCCAAAAGCTTGTTTTAAGAAGCCCAGCAGTTTAGTTTAAAACTAAATTGCAAATCATTATCCCCTCTATTACATTTTGCTAGATAATCAAAACATGAGCAATAGAAATCTAACTATATTTGAAAAACTTCATCTCATCATTGTCTGAATGCATTCATTCATTCATTTATTCTTCCCAAAAAATGTCTACTGTATGACAGATTTTGTAATACAAAAGCATTTCCCATATTCTAATGTCTCTAAATTTCTCTAGTGAGCAATTTTTACAACAGTATTACCATAGAACAGTTGACATTTGGAGGGTTATTTTGATAAAATCATCACTATCACTGCTCATACACCACATCTTTCTCCACCCAGGGCCATTGCAAATGCCCAGGTCCTCACTTGAAGGTTTGCGAGTCAATAGCTCTGAAGTCTGATGAAGCAATACTAAAGATTGAACAACTTACTTCCTATTTCACCATCTTGCTGCTCTAAGAGATACATTTCTATGTTCCTGTTCATTGTTCCCCTGATGCTTCTATTAGCCAGTAGTTCAGTGTTTCTGTCCTGTGACCCTATTTCCACTGGGCCAGAGCAATCGAGGATGGATGGTACTTTTCCACCTGCAGCCGTGAGCTGTGCTGGAAGCAGCCAAGCACTCAGATCCTTTGAGCTGAACTCAAGTCACTCACTTACCTAGAAATCCCCTTCCTTCCTGATGAGTGGCATTCTAGGTTCTTGTCTTTTCCTACTTGTGGAACTCTAATGGCATTAAGTATCAAAAAGAAAAAGGATTTCTGGGATGCCTGGGTAGCTCAGCGGTTGAGCATCTGCCTTCCGCTCAGGGTGTGATCCCGTGGTCCGAGGGTTCAAGTCCCACATATGGCCTCTCTGCATTGAGCCAGCTTCTCCCTCTGCATCTGTCTCTGCCTCTCTCTGTGTATCACATGAATAAATAAAATCTTTAAAAAAATAAAGAAGAGAAAGAAAGAAAGAAAGAAAGAAAGAAAGAAAGAAAGAAAGAAAGAAAAAGAAGAAGAAGAAGAAGAAGAAGAAGAAGAAGAAAAAGAAAGAAAGAAAGAAAGAAAGAAAGAAAGAAAGAAAGAAAGAAAGAAAGAAAGAAAGAAAGAAAGAGGATTTCCCATCTTTTTCTTCCGGGAGACTCTGTGACTGCTAGGTGTATTTAATGCTTCCTCTCCATGACCAGCCAAAACAATTTTGAAAAAGAAGAACAAAGTTGGAAGGCTCACACTATCTGATTTTAAGGCTTAATATAACAACACTACAGGGGACTTGATAGTGTGTCTATGGCATAAAGATGGATATAGATCAATGGAACCAAAAAAGAGAGTCCAAAAATAGACTAACATCTATATGGTCATTGATTTTTGACCACATACAAAGTTAATTCAATGAGGGAAAGAATACCTTTTTTAACAAATGGTTGTGGAACAACTGGACATCCATTTGCAGAGAACAAAACTTGACCCTAACCTCACCTCATTATGCATAAAAATTAGTTCACAATGAATCACAGACCTACATACAAGAGCTAAAACTACAAAATCACAGTTTCTGAGAGAAAGCATAGTAGAATATCTTTGTGATAGTCAGGTAGCCAAAATTTCTTAACTACGATACAAGAAACAAACCATAAAATAAAAAGTTAATAAATTAGGCTTGATAAACATTTTAAACTTTTACTCTTCACAAAACTACTGAGAAAATGAAATGGCTGAACTCCAATAAAAAAAAAGTAAAAAAAAAAAGCAGGAGAATTGTTAAAGAAATTATGGTATATTTATAGAATTGAAAACAACTCAGCAATAAAAAAAATAAATTATTACTGAAAAAAAAATGAAATGGCAATACATAGACCAGAAGTGGATAGATAGGTAGATAGATAGATAGATAGCCTTCTATAAAGTAGCTCTACTACTCCATAACTATAAAATAAACATTCTAATAAAAATGAATAAGATATTTAAGCAGAAACATCATAGAAGATATATGAATGTGCAATAAACATGTGAAGATGTTCCCTGCGTTTAGTCACCAGGGAAATTATGATCAACATTGCAGTGGGGTACTACTACACCCACTAGAATAGTTCAAATTAAAAATATTGACCTTAGCAAGTGGTCACTTTGGAAAGTAATTGCCAACAATTAATTACACTTGCTGGGTAGTTTATTGTTTTTAAAAGCCATAAATTCAAGAAAGAAAACAAACAAACACGGTGGGGTGGGGGGCAGGGGAGAGAGGCAAACCAAGAAACAGACTCTTAACTATAGAGAACAAACTGACAGTTCCCAGAGCCAAGGGCATAGAGGACAGGAGAAAAGTGTGATGGGGATGAAGGAGTGCACTTGCTATAATGAACACCAGGTGTTGTATGGAATTGCTGAATCACTAAATTCTATGCCTGAAACTAACATTACTCTGTATGTTAACTAGCTGAAACTTAAATAAAAACCTGAAGAAAAAAATATTAATGAAAGTTACCCATATACAAGCCATTTGATCTAGCCCTTCCACTCCTGGATATTTTCTCACAATGATTTGCACGTGAATGCTCATAGAAGATTTATTAATAAGCGGTGACAATTGTGTCTATTCATACAATCAGATGGTCCTCCTCAATAAAAAAAAAAAAAGACCTTACTGATTCGTACCATATCAGTACATATTTTTGAGTCAAACTTCAAAATCATTGTGCTGAGCAAGATAAGCCGAATATATAAAAATATTTGTTATAGAGGAGGCACCTGGGTGGCTCAGTGGTTGAGCATCTGTCTTGGGCTCAGGTCATGATCCTGGGGTCCTGGGATCAAGTCCCGCATCAGGCTCCTTGCTCAGCAGGGAGCCTGCTTCTCCCTCTGCCTATGTCTCTGCCTCTCTCTCATGAATAAATAAATAAAATCTTTTTAAAAATTTATTAGATAATTTTACTTCTGTGGCATTCTAAAGGAGGCAGCTCTCTTCTATAGTGACAGGAAGCAAATCAGTGGTTGCCCGGGGCCTGGGTAAGCATGGGGATGTAGTACAAAGGGGCCCGAGGGATATTTTGGGGCATGAGAGAAATGTTCTGCATCTTGATGGTGGTGGTTACACAAGTGTACATATTTGTTAAAACTCATCAAGTGGTGTACTTAAAAAGGTGATTATATTTTCTTTCTCATACAGGTCTATATTATCCCTGTGGTTTTTCATGATTGTTATTTACTGCATACAATTTGTTATAAAAAAATTTTTAAAGCTCCATCACATTGGATCCTCTGATAAGCTGCTCTTTTTCAAGGAAAAAAAGAGTGCTCCTCATTTTTTCCTTTCTCGAGTGCTCCTCTTCCTGCTCCTTTGTAGGCTGGTCCTTTCCTAGCCCAGAAACTCTGGGACTCCCCATCATTTCTTCCCTGGGTTGGATGTCCCATGTCATCCTCGTTTGGGGCTTGTTCCCTTTGATTTTGAGTCCTATAGAAAGTGTGAAGATTTCTACCTCTCCTGAATCCTATGGAAAATGTAAGTGCGTAGGGGATATAGCTTATATTAATTGTGACAATACCTTTCACTAATAACAAGTTCAAAGCAAGCCTATAAAGTAGGTTTTTAAATTCCCATTATGGAGATTTCAAGACCGGCTTGGCCAAGACCTCTCCTCCCCGGCGTGGCTCCGAGTGTTCATTACAATGGAAGAAATCAATAATTTCAAGACACCAAGCAAATTATCAGAAAAAAAGAAATCTGCATTATGTTCAACTCCATGTATAAATATTCCTCCCTCTTCATTTATGCAGAAGCTTGGCTTTGGTACTGGGGTGAATGTGTACCTTATGAAAAGATCTCTAAGAGGTTTGTCTCATTCTCCTTGGGCTGTGAAAAAGATTAACCCTAAATGTAATGATCATTATCAAAGTATGTATCAAAAGAGATTAATAGGTGAAGCTAAGATTTTGAAAAACCTCCATCACCCAAACATTGTAGGTTATCGTGCCTTCACTGAAGCCAGTGATGGTAGTCTATGTCTTGCTATGGAATATGGAGGTGAAAAGTCTCTAAATGACTTAATAGAAGAACGAAATAAAGACAGCCAAGATCCTTTTCCAGCGGTCATAATTTTAAAAGTTGCTTTGAACATGGCAAGAGGGTTAAAGTATGTACACCAAGAAAAGAAACTGCTTCATGGAGACATAAAGTCTTCAAATGTTGTAACTAAAGGTGATTTTGAAACAATTAAAATCTGTGATGTAGGAGTCTCTCTGCCACTTGATGAAAATATGACTGTGACTGATCCTGAGGCCTGTTATATTGGCACCGAGCCTTGGAAACCCAAGGAAGCTTTGGAAGAGAATGGCATTATTACTGACAAGGCAGACATACATGCTTTTGGTCTGACTCTGTGGGAAATGATGACTTTGTCTAATCCACACATTAATCTTCCAGATGATGATGATGATGAAGATAAAACTTTTGATGAAAGCGACTTTGATGATGAAGCATACTATGCAGCTTTGGGGACGAGACCACCTGTTAATATGGAAGAACTGGATGAAACGTACCAGAAAGTAATTGAACTTTTCTCTGTATGCACTAACGAAGATCCTAAAGATCGTCCTTCTGCCGCACGCATCGTGGAAGCTTTGGAAATAGATGTCCAGTGATCCCCGCATATTCAGGACTACTGCCTTTACGTGTGGCTCATGTATAGAACTGTTCTGTTTACTCTAATACACTATAGAGTTACTATGATAAGCTGTAATTATTAGACTTTTTGGAAGTAACCCACTTTAGGACCACAGCGCCTAGTTAACATTTAAACAGTTGTATTTGTTAATATGCTTCTGATGATAAGCATTTGAGATTATAGGTTTTCTATTAAGTTCAGGAAACCAGCTACTTATGTATTTGAACGTTTATCTATATATAAAACACTAGCAGTAATACAATGCTAGAAACTCTATGCCTAACATTAATTTGGATCGACTGACCATCACTTTTATTATTTCTCAAATATTATTTTAATGGATCTATTGAAATTAGCACTTTGTGCTGTACAAAAAGAAGTCTACGTTTGCTTATCTTTTAAGCCATTTAACTTTTTCCTGGCCTTTTTTGGCTGATGTGCTTATTATTAAATATGGTCACCAGAAGCTGAGAGAATATGGCTCACAAGACTAGCTTCCTGGGTATTTAGATGTTTTTGGCTAAGGCTTATCTTGCTCTCTCCATTCTCCCCAGGTCTTTGGCTTTCGCTTTAATTTATTAGATGTATTTTCTGTTTTGAAATATTTTTTTTATTTAGTAATCTATATCCTAAGCATTTTGTAGTTCTGGCATAAAAATAAAATCCTAGTAGGATGATATAGAATAAAGGAGACTTCAGTTAAAAAATAAATAAATAAATAAATAAATAAATAAATAAATAAATAAATAAATAATTCCCATTATGTAGAGAAGCAAACTGAAATGGAAAGCAACTTGCCCCGAGTCTCACATCTAGAAAGTAGTAGAGCTAGGATTTTCTCCCAGGATTTTCTAGCCCTAAGTCTGATGTGCTACCATCCTGAGGTTTTACCATACATCAGACACCGTACTGAGCTCTTTACATTATCATTGCTATCCATGATCCTCACCACATTCATCCAGAAGGTGTTGACATGACAGCTGTTGTCAAATATTGAAGAGCTGCCATAAGGAATAAAGAATTAAGCCTACTAAAATAACCACAGAGATCATAATTTGGATTGGTGAGAAGTTACAAGGAGACAAATGTTGGCTCAAAATAAGATAATTTCTAACCATCTGAGCTGGCCCAGATTGAGTCTCTTTGTAAAATAATGAGCTCTCCATCCCTGAAGATACTCAAGAAGAGTCTATCTGCTCAAAGAGACTTGTAGAATCAACTTTTTTGTTTTGTAAGCTGATAACTGGGGGAGGGTATCAGGATGAACTCACTATGACCAGGCACAGTGCTTGCATACAGAATCTCATGGGAAAATATTTTGTACACATCCTTATTTATATGACTAGTGAAACTAAGCTCAGAAAAATCAACTAATTAACCTGATAACATAATTAATGTGGAATTTTGAGTCCAAGTCTATCTAATTCCAAATCTCACAAGGTCAGTCAGACTAGATGAAAGGATTCAATGCCCTTTCATCCTTTCAGCACCAAGATCTCCTCTGAGACCCGTCCCATCCCCACAGATATCTTTAAAAGACCCTATCCATTCAATTAACTGCTTCTACCAAGCATCAGTGGTTCATCACAGGGCAGGCTACAGTGCTGTCCACTAAAAGGAAAGGGCTTGTAGAATTCCATGCGAAAGCAGAGGCACACAGCACTGCCAATAGCCAGTTCCGATTTAAAATCAATGCATGTTAATATTAAAAACTGCTCACAAGCCCCACTGAATACCTTCCAAGATCCTTTCTGAATCAGGAACCTCAAAGAAAGATTAATTTATACCGTGCGTATTGATGTTGCTGCTTAGGGAGAAGCATTATTTTTGACTGAACATTTTTTGATGTTCAGTGAGCTCTTTTTTTTCTACCTCCTCCCTTCTTGCTTGATGCAACCCCAATCTTGAACTTTATTCAAAATCCAACTAAAACCTGGTCTCCTCCCTGACATTTCTTGCCTTGGAGTTCCTACAGCACTTGCATTAAAGCAACAATCTCAAACCCCTGTCTTGTAACCTTCTGTGTCTTGCCTTCCCTTGTTCTCTGACAAAACCCTGTAGGGTCCTGTGGGAAGATTCCCAACCTTGAATTTGGTGCCATGTATTCATTAAGATCTTCTAAATTGCAGGTACCAGAAACCAACTCAGTCTGCTTCAGCAGAAAAGGAGATGTATTAGGACGCCTGGGTGGCTCAGTGGTTGAGCGTCTACCTTTGGCTCAGGGTGTGATCCCAGGGTAGTGGGATCGAGTCCCACATCAGGCTCCCTGCAAGGAGCCTGCTTCTCCCTCTGCCTGTGTCTCTGCCTCTTTCTGTGTGTCTCTCATGAATAAACAAATAAATAATCTTAAAAGAAAAAGAAAAGGAGATGTATTGGTTTAGGTGTAACAGAAAAGTCCCTGTGTATGCGGGTGTCAGACATGGCTTAATCTGGTAAAACATAAAAATTATACCAAAACTTGATGTCATTCTCCACTAAGGAGACCAGCGGTCTTAGTCTGCTGGGGCACTGAGGGCTTCCGGTGATGAGAGACTCTCAGTTTCAAAGTCCCAAGCAGACCAAGACAGGCCGGGCACTTAACTCTCTCCAACTCTTGCTTCCATTTCCCTCTGCGCTAGTGCCATCTTTAGGCAAATCCTCTGTGTGGTCTGGCATCGCAAGGCTCCAGTATCTACACAGGTAATGATTCTAGTGGGAATTTCTCTTTCACGGGGTTTCATCAAACTTTCAGAATGGTGTCTCAGTGGCCTAGCCCGGATGGCAGGGACAATCCCCGAGCCAATTCCTGTGGCCGAGTAAAATCAGAGACACTGACCAGGCACAGGATGCGTGCCCACCTCTAGGACTGAGTTTTAGAATCAGATGTATCAAAATGAACAGACTTGAGAATGAAAGAGAGATGAGTCCTCAGAGGGAAATCAAGAGGGAAGGGGATGTTGTGGGCAGGCAAAACAACGCCCACTACAAGGGTGATATGGCAGAAAGAGCACTAGTCACGGTGTCACACAGATCTGAGTTCAAGTCCCAAATCTATCATTTCCAAAGTAACCCTGGTGAGCTCCCCAGGGGCAGAGGAAATGGGGGGCGGGGGAGGGGGGAGTGCACAAGCTGATGACCATTGTAAGGATTAAAAGCACAAGGTGTTGGGGCACCTGGTTGACTCTGTTGGTGGAGCGTGCAACTCTTGATCTCGGGCCCCATGTTGGGTGCAGAGATTACTTAAAATTAAAATCTTAAAAAAAAAAAAAGCACAAGGTGTTGAAGGGAACTGGCAAGGAGCAGATGCTTGCCCAATGCTCTTGCTCACCACATTTGCCTGGAAATAAACAGTCTTAACCAGGCATCCCCAGTGGCAGAAACCAAGGACATCTTTCATAATATGTAGTTGAGTAGGAAATGGTTTCTGTCTTAAAGCAAGTGTGATTCTGGAGTTATTTTGAAAGAATTAGCATTCAACACTTCTACTTACCCTGAGATCCTGTAGCAAAAAATGCATAATCTCATTTTTAGAAAAAGTGATCTAAATACATGAGAGAGGATATGAGAACATTGATGTTGATGAGAAGCATTTTACTTTCCTCAGGATGTTTAACTGGACCAGTCCTCTAAAGACACTAAACTGGGGCACCTGGATGGCTCAAGGGTTGAGCGTCTGCCTTTGGCTCAGGTCGTGATCCCGGGGTCCTAGGATTGAGTCCCACATCAGGCTCCCTGCATGGAGTCTGCTTCTCCCTCCTCCTGTGTCTCTGCCCCCGTCTCTCTCTATGTCTAAAATAAATAAATAAATAAATAAACAAACAAATAAATAAATAAATAAATAAATAAATATTAAAAAAAAAAAGAGTGAGGTAATTTTTAAAAGTTATATTCAGGAGATCCCTGGGTGGCTCAGCAGTTTGGCGCCTGCCTTCAGCCCAGGATGTGATCCTGGGGTACCGGGATCGGGTCCCGCGTCGGGCTCCCTGCGTGGAGCCTGCTTCTCCCTCTGCCTGTGCCTCTGCCTCTCTCTCTCTCTCTCTCTCTCTCTCTCTCTCTGTCTGTCTCAATGAACAAATAAATAAAATGTTTTTTAAAAAATAAAAATAAAAAAAAAAGACACTAAACTGACTAGTCCTTTAAGTAAGATTTTCAAGCTCAAAACCTGAGAGAGGTTTCTGGAGCTAGCCCTCTGAAAACCTTGCAAGGATATTTGTAAAGGATGAAGACTAAATATTCACTTCTTTCCATAATCCATTTTGTATTTGAAATTGTAGTTATTATTGAGGGGAGAGTTAAAAGAAATGCTCTCTCACATCAGAGTTTTTTTAAGGCTCTTTGGACATCATCTGACCTACCCTCTACTTTATTGTTAGGGAAACCAAGACCACATTTACCTACCAGTACAACAAATGCACCAGGACGATTTATTCTCCAGAGCCTCTTCATATGCTGTTTTCTCGGCTTCCGATATTCATGGACCCCTCCCCCATGAATCTTTCTAATACATTTTGCTCCTTCACAATTCGGTTAAAGGCCACCTCCCCTGAGAACCTTTCCCTGATACCTTTCACCCTAGGTTGGATGAGGTGGCCCGTCACAGTGCACTCAAAGTCACAGTGGACAGTAATCATTGATTTTCTAGTTCTTTCTGTCAATCCCACTCACCACCCTCTCACCCTGAGCTCCTCAGGGGAAGAGACAAGTATTACTCATGGCTGAGTCCTCAGTATGTAACACAGGGCTTGGAATAGACCAAACACCAGTCATGCCTTATTGTCAAAAAGACCAATCTGGCTGGTTCCATTTTGTAAGTATGTGGCAAGTCTCAGTATTTCCACCTTACAAGACAAATTTGGCCCAAATAGGAAAGAAGTAACTGAGCTCAACCACAAAGATGGAATGTGGCATTTTATATTTATCTAACACAACTGCCTTCTGTGTGCTTGGCAAAAGGTATACTGAACACATTTGTTACTTCAAGAAATAAACAGGTGGACAA